CCGAATAAATGTTCTTTCGTTTTCAGGTCTTTCTCGCCGCGCTGTAATAATAACTTTACGCATATTTCCGCTACCATTTTCTCGTTGAAACGAGAGGAAATATGGTTGGCTTTGGAAGTAACTAGTTTAGTAAGATTAATCTCTCTCTCTCTCTCTCTCTCTCTCTCTCTCTCTCTCTCACTCGATGAATTATCTCAACGTCGGTCAATTGTAGTCGCAATTAACGTTACTTCGTTTTCTTCGCTATCGGCACGACCGACCGTCCGCAGCACGCATTTGTGTCGAGCGCAAATTTCGGCGAAAGCTGGCTCTCGTACGCACGGGTGTGACAGGTGCGACGAATGACGGCAACGTGATATCGACAACCACGCGAAATGCCGAAATCTTTCGGTGTTACACGCGCAACGAACTGGAACTATTGCGACACGGATTTTAGAATATTAGATCGGTCGTTATACGATGAAGCAATTATAAACGCTCTTATGTCCTTATCATTTTTCATACTTGTATTTTCATTTCTGTTCTCGTGCTACCTTGATGTTGCGCAACACTGAGGTCTCTCTCGATAAACTCATTTATTTATTTTCCTTTCATTTTGCAATTCTCTGACACAAAAGGTACACGGCGACAAATCGCAGATCAAAGCGGCGCGTGTATCGTCTCGTGAAATTATAACACGACGGCGAAAACGTAACCGTTCAATCTTACTGGAAAGATCCGAAAGTTTTTGCTACAAAAGCCAGTATCCCGTGAAGCTGTGTGTAACCGTGTCTCGTTAGAGCCGAAATCCCCGGTCTCTCCGGACCAACCGATCGAGTTCTCGGCTTCCGATACTTCCCGTATTCACGGCGAACGGAAGCGGAAACGACGCGTTAATCAAGAAGTATCAGCGTGGCTCGAAACAAAGGAACTGTACAAACTTGAGACAATTAGAGATCCCGGTAGCTGACAACTGTCCGATAACGCGGACTCCACGTGACAGGAGCGAACGGTAAACTCGGATATCGATATACCGTCGAGATAGCGAGACAGTTCGGGGCTGGTAGAGGACGGACGGGACACGCTCCTTTGCTTTGTATCGTCGCGCGTAGCAATAATAAAACGGGCTCTCGGGTGAAACGCGAGCGGAAACGACCGCCGCCGTCGCCGTCGGCGGCACGGCGGATCGTTATGCACTTGTCGATCCGTCGAGATTGCGTTTCATCGCGCGAAGAGTTATAGGTGACCCCGATAACGGAACGTCCGTTAACCCCTGGACGAAGGTTGCCGGGCCGACGACGAGCTTAGACGAGGCGGAGACGCGTATCGCGGCGGCTTTTACGTAAGCTTCCCGCTGTTGCTCACGCCTTCGGAAAATGCAAACGCGCGCGGCGACGGAGGGAATTCGATCTCTCTTGCCGGTGGTTACATAAAAACGCGCGGTTGTTGCTAAGTGCAGCGGCAGCGGCGGCGGCGGCGGCAGCGACGGCGACGGCGGCGGCGGCGGCGTGGTGTCGTCGTGGCGCAGGTGCGAGAGGACCGGGGCGCAATGAATTGTAAAAATGGGACGCGCGGAAGGGACAAGGGGGGAGTAAAAAATGCGCGAGAAGAAAAGAGACGGAGAGAGAGAAAGAGAGAGAGAGAGGGGGGGGAGAGAGAGAGGGGGAGAGAGAGAGAGAGAGAGAGAGAGAGAGAGAGAGAGAGAGAGAGAGAGAGAGAGAGAGAGAGAGAGAGAGAGAGAGAGAGAGAGAGAGTTAGTTATATATATGTTGACACTCCAGGATCGAACCCCATAGGGAATACAGTGTTTGATAGAATATTGTGAGTCAACCTTAAAGCAGTGAACTATATAATAATTCAGCAATCCATGGCTACGCAGTTATACAAGTATGGAGCAAAAATTTCAGTGAGCATGGATGATATATCGATTTAGCAGAGCAGCCTGCAAACATGCGAATAGCAAATAGCAACCTAGCGGCTCAGCAGGTTGAAGCCGGTCGAATCCGGTTGAAGAATACGCAGCGAATACAGTAGATTTTCATAAAAATTTTTCACAACATAGCAGAACCATGTTCACATACGAGCAGATAATCGATAATACAAAAGGGTTGAAGAATATGCAACGAATATAGTAGATAGTTGCAAGAAAAAAAAGAAATAAAAAAGTTGAGAGAGAGAGAGAGAGAGAGAGAGAGAGAGAGAGAGAGAAAGAGAGAGAGAGAGAGAGAGAGGGAGAGATCCAGTCAATTGATTTCGCCTGAAATTGCCATCCATCTTCCCCGAAATTTCTTTGCTTCACTCCCCATGCAACCCCTTGCCGATCGACCCAATTCGGCGCGATGAATCGCGAGTCGCGTTGTGATGGCGTTCCGCGACGCACATACCACTTTCCTCGATGGAAGCTCGGCTCGAAAAAGAAAAACACACACTCGTCCATTTCCACCGTAGCGGAGGCTCGTGTATTTCGCCCGACACTCTCCAGCGCGATCCTGTGTCCGGATTGCAAAAACGCGTCTCGCTAACTGCGCAGTCCGCCGTGACGAGCGCAATAATCAACGCCGAGTTCAGCAAAAATCGTGCGTTCGCACGCACTTTCGCGAGTCTCCGGCTCGAACGACTCGGCGGAGCCGGAGTGTCTTTCGGGACTTTCTCAAGTGGCATTTTCCGCCTAATCCGCCTGAAACGCGAAGCAGCCGCGATCTCGCGACGGCGAGAACGACAAAACGGACGAGTCGCAAGCTGCACAAGTTCGTTTTCGCGATCGAGCGTCATTCGACGCCGAATGGAGCGTGCCGCGACATCGTCGGAGCGCGACATGTCTAACGCGATACGTAATTCGCGATGTAATTCGCCAATTATTCGTGAATATTACATACCTTGGCGCGGCGCGCGCGCGGAGCGTCACATTTTGGCGTCGCGAGAAAGCCAAGCGGCTTACGCGAATTTCATCCCCCCGTCTAGTTGAGCCGCGGAAATCCTCCTCCCGGCTCCTCCTCCCCCGCTGAGGATGTTTCGATGTACGACAGCAGGGAGAAAGAAAGTGAAAGACAGCGCGCGATGCGCGAGGCGGAGGTCTTTTGAATGTCTCGACGAGAACGCGTTCTCGGCTGCCTCTGGAAACAAAGCAACAATTTTGAGAATTGCAACAGCCGTGTGATGAGGGGGTCTCCCGTTTGAGCAGAGACGCTCGTTACCGAGCGTGAACTTCGGACGGCCGTTTTGAAGGAGAAAATAAGAGGAGAAGCGTATTTTGGCGCGCTGCTTTTCGTCTCGCGTTTCCACCTCGACGAATGAAAGCGAACGAGGGCGCTCGATCGCAGAGTAATCAGATGATAAAGGATATTTCGAATTCCTCAATGACATGAGAGAGAAAGAGAGGGGGGAGGGAGGGAGAGCATTGTTCGCATCCATTTGCGTTGCGATATTTTCCGATTGTTTGTATTTCGAAGAGAGAGAAAGAGAGAGAGAGAGAGAGAGAGAGAGAGAGAGAGAGAGCTGTGTGGTGTTTTTGAAATTCACCGTCGAGGTAACTTTGTCGTTTTTCGAGATGCCGCAGCAAGAAAATATTCGAGAGAGCATCGTATGTGTATGCGTTCGCGCACGTTGATGTGAAAACGGCGCGCCCTCGAATGATAATAAAAGTAAAGCTGATTCGGGACGCCAGGAATATTTTATTGTAAATTTTTCGCGTATCCACACGTCGTCGCGTATGCGATGTGTTTTAATCTAATCGATTTTATTTTATCGATGTATTTTGAGAATTAACAATCTTTCAGTCGAGATCAACGTTATCTATTCTGAAAGCATATTTTTCCAAGTTTATTTACGCCGGAGGTCTAATAACTCCTTCGTAATTTCCTACAATTTATCCGTTAAAATTTCGTGTAATTATGCCCGGAACGCTCGAGGCTCGCCCGAGATTCTGTGAAACTTGCGGATCAGCATTGTCTTCAACTGCAGAAGCAGTTTGTAGCACTTGTTACCGAGCGTTGCGAACGGACGAACGATGGACATTAATTAACGGGATTAAATTCGAGCACGAACGTTAATTAATTCACAAGCTGCCGCATACACCGCGAAGCCTGATGGTCTCGATGAATTATACACTCTTCTGTTGTAAAATGCATTAACGTCGACTCGTCAGCGTGTAATCGTGTCTCTGCGCGAAATCAAGCCGGCTTGATTCGCGACTTCACCTCGTCGGCAGATCAGTCTCGACTTTGCGGGAGCGGTCAGTCCAGAGATATTTCCAGAGATATAAAACATTTCCTTCGTCACTTGCTCGCCGATGTTGTCTGTCTTTCTCCCTCTTAATGCTTTTCCTCCCGCACATTCAAATTTCGTTCGACGCTCTTCGGCGTTCCTGTGAGACGAATCACGACTCGTCGATTGAGCCGATCATTAGCTCCGCCGAAAGCATCAAGACGACTATAGCGAGAGCGACTTACGAGCCGGAAGAGAACTGCGAGTTTCCATAGTGACGAGGGACAATTCGCCTTTCCGATCGATCGCGATATGCGGCGTATTTTCCAAACGCGGCCTCAGTCAACGGAAACTGCATGCGCTAAACGAATCAGCGAGCGTAATCGAATTGGGCTGTGTTACGCGTCCACTTCAGGATCGCACGCGATCCCCTATGGCTTCCGTGCCGCGCACACGAAGCGTAAAAGTAGCATGATTCTTACTCAATGTCGCGTTTTCATTCGCGGGCGCGATGCCGGTTAATTGTCGCGACACGTTTATCAAAGTGTACATCAGCGGGTGAAAATTTTCCTTCCCTCATTCCTCCGAAATCCTCTCATTAATCTGCCAACCAGCGGTAGAACGGTGCGGTTGCTTTGCAGCTCTTCTCTTACTTTAAAGAATATTTATGCCATAAGCACAAGTGCGTGCCGATTTCGTTAATCTTCCGAGACACACTCCGTCTCTTCTCAGCCGATCCTTTTCTTCAGCGTAGAAAGGCTCGAACACTGAGCGTTCCTTTTACGATCCCGTAATGATCCTTCGTGTTCTGTTTGCAGAGTGCAGCTGGTGCTGCAGTAAGGGCCCGAGGAGGAACGTAGACCATGCCAGGGCCAGGGGCGGAGTGGTGACCTAGACCTCGGCTCCGACCCTCGATGCTTACGCTACGGCTGGTGTCGACTCACTTCCTGAAGCAGCCATAGGCAGTGCCCTTCGCCTGAGAGAAGGGGCTATATGCGATGTGCCGTGATAGGGACATGAACCCAGAACTAGTCGAATCGCACGATCTTCGCTTTACGTTGGCGTCGTCGTCGCCGTCGCCGTAGAACAGAAAAAAAACAGACACGGTCGGCTCGAAATTTTCACGCGCACGCGAAGGACTCTTCTTTTTCGACAGCCCTTCTCTCTCTCTCTCTCTCTCTCTCTCTCTCTCTCTCTCTCTCTCTCTCTCTCTCTCTCTTTTTCTCTGTCTTTCTTTCTCTTTTTTTCTTTCTCTCTCTCTCTCTCTCCCCCTATTTCTCTCTCATATATTCAATCTGAGGCGGGTACTTTTCTCGCCCAGACACATACACACACACACACACGTACATTTACATACATTACACACATACACACATACTCACGCACACGACATATATACGTCCTAGGTACCCCCATGCGTCGTTCCTTACCCTCAAAGCACGGAAAACGACTACTCGCATTTGTGATCCCGACGGAAATCAAAGTGTGCACGCGGGTATCGCGTTGCTCGGTGCTCGGTACTCGATACTCGCCGGTCGCGAACGGGAGCGACGAAGGAGATCACGGATCATAACCCGGAAGAGAAACGGCGCTACCAATACTCGCGACGAGTCCGCACGAAGGGAAGAAGGACGAAGAAGGGAGGGTAGGAGGAGGAGCGGGACGAGACAACTGCCACGCTGAACTCGGTGTATTTCAACCTGTGGAGGGTCGCGAGAGAGTGTATTGTGAGTGTGTCTCTTTAACGATCATCTCCGCGATATATAGCGCAATATATAGGGCTGCCATCCCAGGGGGTGGAGAAAGGACGAGGGGACGCTTGATAAAAATTACTCGAGGACACAATTACGGGAATTGAATTAGCAGTGTCAACAAGAGTCTCTGCACTGATATGCGGTGCAGTGATAAAATTTGTAATCATTGTAAATAAATGTGCGGACAAATGAGAAGCAGTTCTACTGCGAAATAATACTGCGAAATTCGATATTCAAGGGAAAAAATTGCTCTTTGGAGTTTGGAGCTACTGGAATTTGATTCTGCCGACAATAAAATCTGCAACTGACGCACAGTTTATCAACAAAGTTATATCACGTTATATTAGAATTATATATGAAATTTATTTAATTATTTTACTCAATTTATTTAAATAAAATTTAATTTAATTTATTTACTAAATAAAATGTAATTTAATTTCTTCATTAAAATTTATTTTATTTTATTTTATTACATATAAAAGTTACATTAGAAAAATGAAACTGTACGACAAGAAAATGTGTTACATTCGTCCCACAGATTTTTATTGGCTTTCCTTCACGAATATCGAATACACATCGTGCGATCTTCTTGAATTGAGAGAAAATACTTCTGTAATTTATTTTTATCGTTTAAGTTTATCACTCAAGCCTTTAATAATAGAAAAAGAGATGTGTGATGAATTTCACTAAACGGTATATATTATAATAGCACGAAAATAGATCTACAGTCGGCTTTCAGTGTTACTCGAGCACAGAACATGAATATGTTGATCCGCGAACGGTGAATGTTTGAAATTCGCGATGATTACTTAAGATGAGAAAAAGCAAAGAAAGCAACGTGTCACGCGGTAATTCTCCAATCTGTGTCATAAATCCGACGTGTCGACGATTAATGGACTACAGCCGCACATTCGTGTCGGATTTATACGCCGGGATTGACGCATCACACATGTCCCCTTGCCCTTTCCCCCCTTCTCGATTATGTAACTACGAAATTTTGGCACAAATTGGTGCAAATGCGCACGCTAATGCCGTTCGCGTGAAATTTCCTCGTCGGTAGGGTCAGTTGCGTCGCGAACGAGCGACATCGCCGATCACCGACCGTCTCGTATGATTTTTATCCCGCTTTTTATCCCCCTCGAAACTGCGCGCGCTTTTCTTTTTTTCCACGCGGAAGGAGCGGCGGGAGGGTAAACGGATCAATCGCGTATCATATCAGTTTTCGGTGCAGTGGTCGGCAGATTATTTTCGATAACGGGCTTTGTGTGTACGGCGCTGTTCCTTTTTCTCCACCTCTTTTATTTCTGTGAAACTTATGTACCGCTGGAAAATTGTAATTATCCGTTTTCGAGGAAGTCGACGAGCAGAACATGGTCGGGCATCCGCGGATCGGGCGGCTGCTAATTTTTCCGCGAGTCTTGCAAAATGAATTTTACATGGCCGCGCAACCTCGTTTCGCCTCGTTTTATCGCGCTTGATCGTTTGACCCGTAGTCGCACCGCTTTACAATAACGCGCAGCGGCCAGGTCACATGGAGAATGGAGAATAATTTTCGCCGAACCTTAGAAACTTAGAAACACGTCGTTCTCGAGGATTGCGAAATGAATGTCTGACGCGAGAACGGTAGAACTCGTCGAAACTGAACGACAAGGTCTTGCACCATTTTGCAGAGAACATTTTTGGCAAATGAACGCTTGCGACGCGGTGGGACGAGATTCTCGAGCGTAGTCTCATCCGAGACGTCTGAACTTTCTTCAAGTAACAACCCGATGCTTTTACGTGGTTGTTTGCAAAATGGTGCGGAACTTTTCCATTAAGTTGGACGATTTCCACCCGCAACCGAGTGGACGTACGCGTGTCGCGTCAGACACCTCTGTATCGATATCTCGAAAGGCAGTGTTGACTCTAATGAAAATTTTGGTTGACCGAATTTCGGTTGATTAGATAATTAAATATGCAAATTTATAATATTCCCATTGAGTAAATCGTGATTACATACAACGATTGTTTCACCCCTGATAGCTCTGATTTTATTGATTATACATTGATTAATAATTAATCTCGCCAGTCGATTAAATTATTCACGATTATTATATGACGATTTATTAGTCGTGATTATTGATTTGCCAGTTATTTTAGTCAATGATTTTTTTCTCCAATCGATTAACGCCCAACACTATCGCGGACGGTCGTCGGCGCATGCGGCCGCGGTGACGAGATGGCGCGGAACTTTCGTCCGATACGTATCCCTTTGTTTACGTCGTAATAAAGTGTATATATATATATATATATATATATATATATATCGACGACCGAGCGAGGACGACGGCATTTACGGTTCGCGGAGCTTTTCCCGTTGTTGTAAAACGCACACCGCCTCTCATCGATCGCGCTAGCGAAAATATTGAAATTGCCGCGCGATTGTGTTCCGCCGACGCGGTGTTGTCGACGCATCGGCGCGAGCCGTTCCTCAGCATATGACCATGCAAATGACACGGCAGTTAGCTCGCGTTAGAGCGATCTGAAGCGTCTAATTACGCGGGGAAAGAAATCAGCGTGCTCTTTCGATCGTCGACCGTAACTGGAAAAACATTCTCGTACTCCTGGTACGTTCAAAGCACAACGTCAATTATACGTACTTCGCATCCCCGTGTCAGAGAAATGTTCGAGAAATGCTGAGAAATGGCTTTCCCTAAAAATTAAGCTGCTCAGCAAATCGCCCCGAAAGTTGGAGAGTTTTTTTTTTTTTTTTTTTTTTTTTACAATAAACAGACGCTTTTTTCTACTACGGTTCTTCTCTCCGTGCGGTGAAGTAATCGTTGAATCATTCGTTTCTCTTTCACGACGCGACGGAGGTCTCGATATATTCTTCGCTTTTGCGCGACACGCACGACGAGCGCAGGCGGACTTTGCTCGAAACGACAAGAACGACGTACTGTCTTTCGTACGGCCGTCGTTCTGCACACCGGCGTGAAATTATAATATCGCGCGAATTACATTAAGTTTGCTGTCGTCGCTTTTGCCAGTGCGGCGGCGGGTCGCGGTGCAGACAAAGTGGGATGAGACGCCCCCAGCAAGAACATCTTCATCATCACCACCACCACCACCACCATGTCCACCATCATCATGGATCCTCAGCAAGTCCCACGCGCTCTCGTCAAGCACATGATAAGGTAATCTTTTCGGACGCATAAGTTTTGTCTCACGTCGCTTCGCCGCATTTTAACTAATTCTATGTGAAGCACGAAATTACTCTCTCTCACCAGTTTCGGCACAAAACGCTGATCTCGGGCCTATCAGTGAACTGGTCAAGCAATTTTCACCTTGTCGATTGCTGCTTTGCTCTCCCGCCTTACCAGCCAGTGTTTCTCTACAACACATACCTTCCTTCAGATTTTAAAATTATAAGCAAAATTATAAGCTTCTCGTAAGGTTTCTGCGCATATTAATTGCAATTGACATGTGTGCTTAATTGTTTGTCATACGATATTTTCTGTCACTTCCTGTAAAGTGCAGTTGAACTTATCATTCTATGCGCGATCGATTATAACTCTCCAGTATGCATAATAACGATAACTGACTTTGATGATAAATTTTGTCACGGAAGTAATATAGATTATATATAAAAATAGTATTGTGAGAGTAATATATCTATTATTCAATAGACTCCTGTCACCTCTCCCTTGTCATGCTCTCGTGTGCTTTCGTGTTTAGTGATGTGCAACGATAAGATATTGTTGTACCAGGCTCTTATCTGCCGTGCAGTAGCTACTGTTGCTATCTTAACGAATAGACAGTTTCACGTAGCACTTCTCGTTCTACACTCGAGAGATACGAGCGTAGAAACTTGCGCTTGCCGGCACTTGTATCGTCGGGCGCGCGAATGTAGAGCCTGTATCTACTCGTTACTCCACTTTGTCGACGCACTTACTGCTTTTCCTGCCGGCTGTTAGCAGCCGCTTCGTCGCGATTACGCTTTCTCGATCCCTGCCACTCGTTCGACCGATCCGTTTTACGGCCCGTGTAAATGTCGCGCAAATGTCGTGAAACATCAATTACGCCCGATAAGACTGCGAGAAGTGTACAGGATGAACTTGAAGCGTGTACGTTGTTAGAGAGAGAGAGGGGGAGAGAGAGGGGGGGAGAGAGAGAGAGAGAGAGAGAGAGAGAGGAGAGAGGAGAGAGGAGAGAGAGAGAGAGAGAGAGAGAGAGAGAGAGGAGAGAGGAGAGAGAGAGAGAGAGAGAGAGAGAGAGAGAGAGAGAGAGAGAGAGAGAGAGAGAGAGAGAGAGAGAGAGAGAGAGTAAACAAGCGTTGAAGAAAAAAATGTGGGTAGACAATGCTTGATATTGATATAAGTAAAACGCGCGAAGAGAGACAAAGTGAAGCGTTTTATGAGACTTTGCTCATTTTTATAACATGTTTCTTATCAATTCACCTCATCACACCGTTCATCTGAGAAACCGTCACCTATTTTTTTTTCCCTTTTTTCTTTATGTACAAACGTAAAAACGCATTCTTCATTCATAGTCTCTTAAGATTTCACAATGACATCAACTGCCCCTAGCTTCAAAGAAACGTCTTTGTTAAACACCTTGCGTTTAACCCCTTGACATACAAATAAAATAGGACTCGATGTGCGCTAAAAATACCATTTGATATAGCTCAACTTAAAAGTTACGTAAGCCACACAAGGAACAGAATATTTATACTGCTACACAACAACTTCATACTCCTGTAGGATGCAGAACTTTTCAAAACAGTCTGGTAAACGTGTAGAAGTGTATTTTTATTAAAACATTTTTTACACTGCCAGGTTGCTTCGCTTCTTATATTATTTTTGAGCACACATGACATCCCTTTGCAGGAGATGTTGCTTTTTACCGCTGGAAGGTATATGTTGAGGAAAATGTGTCTGATCTTTTGCCTCTTGGCCAAACCAAGCTGGGCACTCACTTTGCGAAAGTATACCGCGTGTCGGGCAGTTAGGTAGATACAAATTGCACAAAATACGTCTTCAGCAATACTTAGTTGAAAATTTGCTACATATAATACAATTATATTCCCGTTGTATATTTGTACTTATAATATTTAATCTCGTAATATTTTTATAGGGGCACTATAAAAGCGAATATAAAATAATCAGTGTATAATTCTTGGCGTCTCGGAGACGTCAACGTCTAAAATGACGTACGGTGAACAAATGATGTCTCCCAGACGTCTCCGTGCACCAAGGAGTTGATATCCTTATTCCGTGCGATGTAGCCGGAAGCGGAGAGCGATCCCTTGAAATCGCGTCCCTTGCAGGACGAATCCCGTCTCGCTCGCGTGAAGCGCGTCCTGGCGGGTTCGCTGTTGGGCCGCGGCGCGGGATCCAGCAGGATCTTCGGCACCCGGCTGGAGCTGATCGAGTCGTACCTCGACACGGGCGTGCCGTACGTGGTGCACCGATTATGCAGCTACATCGAGACCCACGGCTTCCAGAGCGCGGCGGTGTTCCGGCTGTCGGGCGGCAGTCCCAGACTGGCGGAGAGACTCAGGGCCGCCTTCGAGAGGAGAGGCGACGCCGACCTGGAAGGCGCCGCGTGCCCTCCGACCGCGGCGACCCTTCTCCGGCAGTACTTGAAGGAACTTCCGCAACCCGTCGTGCCGTCCACCCTAGTCGGGAGACTGCTTAACGTACACGCCCGTAAGCGCAGATATACTTACATCTCTCTAACGGGATAATATTATTATCACCGTACACTATATCTCGTCAGAGTTGTCCAAGACTTTCGTCCAATTCAATCGCAAGAGGTTTGTTCTTTCTCGAAGCACGAAAGCTGCACTAGTACGGAACTTAATCAGGACAGGTGAGTGCAGATTAGGTTTCGGAGCAAAATTGCATTGAACTGGCTGCGCCAGCTCAAGGACTTAGGGCAGCCGGTGCACTGAACCGTTGCAATGATCACCGTTGTCCTTTGAAAAAGAACGAGCGACATCGACGTCGTTTCCGAGAAGAAAGAAAAAGACTTTATATACTCGTTGCGTTAGTGTACACTAGCGCAAAAAGTTCTTCGAAAAAGAACAAACACAATCTGCCCGCTCTACGAGTCGAGCGCATGTCCAAAGTGCGTACTTGCAACGACTGAAAAAAAAAAAGAAATGTATCCGCCTGTGACAGAGGATTACGCGAACGATCACGAGACCTGGATCGCCTCGACAAAAGAGCTGCTGTCGACTCTGCCCTCCTCCCACTATCGTCTGCTCGGTTACCTGGCGATCTACCTTAGCAGATACGAGGCGCGACATGGACGTAGCGCCGGTGTCTGCGGCGTCTTCGCGCCGGTCATTCTGCCGCATGTACCACCCGCGACCACTCTTCTGCGAGACATCCTCGCCGAGGCGCTGGTGTTGTTCCCCGACTGGTGAGTGAGCACGATTTTGCTTAGCATGGAAAACCTGAAAAGAGAGTCGCACGAATACGCGCGGAAGTCGCAAACGCGCGAACGACTTGCGTAACCGCGTCGGCGACGGAAATGATACGTCTATCTTGATCGCTGGTTTGCCTTTTTATTTTTAGACTCATTAGAGAGAGAGAGAGAGAACGAGCACGATAACTCGAACAACGAAGTAACTATCGAAGTCATACTGCGCGAGCAGTGCGATTTGTCGGTGCGCGACTTGGAGCGAAATTAAATATAATTAAACTTTTGCAAAGTTGCAAGAAAAAATAGAATTGGTCGGAGGAGAATTAGGGATTCTTTCAATTAGAATTTTTTTTTCTGCACGTAACGAAAGATGTGGAGGATCTTTCTTTTCTCTTCTTGAAATGTTCAATATTTTTTCGCTAATTACTTTCAAAGTTATAACGTAATGGCGTCCACGAGATGTGAGTCAAAATCTAAATCGAAATCTAGGAGTCAAAATACTTTTAGTTTTAGATGGATCGATCGAGAGACCAAAGTGTTGTTATTTTTAAAGATATTTCATGTAATATGTAAGGGCACATCCCGGGGCTCAAAGGACTAAGAACGTTTCGGCGATAAAAGAGCGAACATTTTTCTTATTGGCGGACAAATTGACATCTGATGGGCGCGAAAAACATGTCGGACTGAAACCTCCACTTTTATCGCTCGAAATGAAGTGGATTCGAGTCCTGTGACCGAGTCTTTTCGCCGTTTTACGAGCGGCGAAAAGTCACGTGAGATTTCGCGCTGATAAGTCTCGTTGCTTCGTTCGCAAAAACCACGCCATGAACAAGCGACCGAAGGATAACAGGCGGCAGCACGTTGTTCAACGGTGCATGAACGGTTAGACACGCGAGCACAGTTAAAACGTAATTCACTGTAATTTTGCACCGGGCATGCCTCTTTTTTGCGATTTCAAGAACACCCGCCGGATTATCCGTTTTCATGCAGATCGATATCCGCTACACTGACAGAACTTTATGGTGAAAATTACGATCAAATAAGATGCTTGGGATTGCCATAGGAATTTTCTACTTGAGAAACATCGACATTTATTATCCTTCGCTTCACGCGCGCTATTTACATATTTTGGGGACCCAAGTTGACTGCTAAGTAAAAATTGCGAAATAAATTTCGCCATTTTGGACGGGAATCTATGCTGTTCCCGGGAAGATCCCGGGAAATTTCCGTTCGCGTTGCAACTTTTCGTTTCACTGCCTACGATTATTCTGCCTCTGATCTGCCAGCGGATCTGTATCATCGCGATCAAGCTCATGACTGCTTCTTGTCGGCATTACAAACCGAGCGAAACTTTTGCGAACGGTTCTCTTCTATAGAAAGGAAGACCGAGAGAGAGAGAGAGAGAGAGAGAGAGAGAGAGAGAGAGAGAGAGAGAGAGAGAGAGAGAGAGAGAGAGAGAGAGAGAGAGAGAGAGAGAGAGAGAGACCGTACTTTTAATTGGACTCTTCTCCTTACACTCGAGAATCTCTCTCTCCGATGGAGAGCAGACAGTCGGTTATTATTTCTTAACTTGGGGCGCTCCTTCGCTCGTCCGTGCGCCCCGACTGCGTCTTATGCTGGGACGGTCTCGATGGGATCGAGTACACTTACAGTCTCATCTTTGCTGCATTCTCGGCGGCATATCGGCCGGACTAAACGGTGTCGTTGAAAGTGCCACAAGTGAAGGAGACAGAGAAATAAAAAGTCCGTTTGCATCCGTCGAATTGCATTCGTGGGCAACGTCTTGCCGCGAAATGCCTTCGTGCAATTTTCGATGCAATTTTCGATGCAATTTTTCTTGCGATGAATACAATCTCCTAATTTTCCTATCAAGTTTCTTCATACGGAGACATTCATCCAATTTCGTCCATGTTTAAATCAACGTTATTGCGTCGTGCCTGATTCACTATTGACAGCTTCGGGCTCGATTTCCGTACACGTGCGACGTACGCGCGCACGCGAGAGAGAGAGAGAGAGAGAGAGAGAGAGTTTCGGGATTCTCGCGTGCATACGAAGGGCTTCTCTCGGTACCCACGTACAAGCGGGTACGGTTTCATCGCGTAAAAACCTCCGAATCACGCAAAAAGCATGTTAAGCCGCATCGATGATCGATACGGATCGCGTGGGAAGTAGTGGGAATACGTTAAGCGAGATACAACGGAAGCCTTTTGCGCATCCGGAGGATTATTTCCATTTGATGCCGATGTGATTTGACGCGACAATGTGAAGACTTCGTGGAATCAAACGCGAAATAAATATGTAAGCAAATGATAATACAAGAATAATAACGCGATAGTAATAGTAAATCTAACGAGACTGATACGACAGAGTTCTCAGTAAGTTCGGTATCGAGAATCCCCGGCGTTGAATTACATAAGAGCGAGCTGTCTCTCATCTGATTTCAAAGTGCAGCGAAATTTCGGCGCAAAGTGTGCTCGCCCGAATCTCCATTTTTCGATCGTCTGTGCAAAAGGGCATATGTTACATAAAGTATAAAGCTGAGATAAAAGTTATAATAAAAATCTCTCTCGCAGTCTCATTAAAGCGATATTATGCGCGACAAAAGAAGTTTATGCAGCGTGCAAGGTCAATTTAATCTTCGAGGTGCATCGGGGAGTTAAGCGCGATGAACGAGGAAATCGTGAGCCTGCGAGAGACGATCAAGACGATCCACCTTCTTAAACATTGCAACTGAGAGAGAGAGAGAGAGAGAGAGAGAGAGAGAGAGAGAGAGAGAGAGAGAGAGAGAGAGAGAGAGAGAGAGAGAGAGAGAGAGAGAGAGAGAGGAGACAGAGAGAGAGCGAACGAGAGAGACGCGAATCCCCCTCTTAATCCCCCCAAGCGTGTAATGAATTATTAATGCGCGTCGCACGCTCCTAACCGTCTGTAATAGCCGGCATATATCGGTTACTGCTACGTATGTGACTAAAAATACCAAAGGCATATAATTGCTCGTCGGGTATTAATAAGCTTCTGCGCAAAAAAGGTTCTTAAAATAAAGGAACGAAGGCGAGCCGTTTAATGCCGGCGGCAGCGAGAGTATTACAAAGCGCTCCGCGAGAGCGTCTTCGATCCTCCGACCGCACATCCGAAGCGTTTTATTTACCTAGTACGGTGCCGCAAAAGAGCCCGCGCCTTTTTATGGAAAATGCAGACGGACGAGTTGAGACATCGATGAGGTTGTGAGATCAAATCGAGAATCCTCGATCCGGCTTCGATTTTTGTTCAATCTCGCTCCGCTGCAGTTCGCGCGACAAAATCTCTGCATAGCTCCGAGACGTTCCCTTCGCCCGATTTTGTTTTTCTTTTCTCTGTTATAGAGTAAATTCTAAAATAACGCAGAAAAAAAGAATACTATTTACGGGACGAGCCAATACAATCAAGTCGGCGGATTGAGCTGCTCGAGCGAAGCGTATAAGTGAACGGTCGCTTTCGCGAGAACTCGAGAGACCGCGCTCGATTAATCGCGCTCGGCGCGTCTTTCGGAAATCGCGAGACGGCGAGACGAATGCCGCCGTCGGTAACGACGACCTGACGATCGCGTTCTCGAGACCTCGTTTTGGGGTATTGGCTTAAGGTAATCGGCGTTATGCACGGTCATGCGTTTCCATGGATCTTGCGTCATAGTCGCCGCCGCCCGCGTCTGCGTCCACGCCCGCGCCCGCGCCTGCGATGTTCAGACGTCGGGACGAGCAACGTCCGTGAATAGTGCATCGTGTGCATGAATATTTCACACGACCCGTCTGCGCTTGGTCTCCGTCCCAAAATCCCTCCGATGCTCTCCGAAACGGCTGACACGGTCTAAAGGTCCGAGCGAGGGGTGCGATCGGGAAATCGATCGGAAAGACCGCATCGTATGTCGTGCGGAATTTGATTTCACAAATTTGTTTTTTCGCATCTCCGAGAGGATTGGAAAACGATACGTGTACGGACACGTTCGTGCAATTTCTGCATTCATTCTTATCTTCACTCTTATCTATTCTTTGAGTCGTTCCGCACTAGGGTCTTTTCTCTGCGTTATTTTGGAAAATTTACTCTAAAAAAAGAAAACAAAAGCAAAATCGGGTGAGATTAACAAAAGTAATATATATATTACGTTAAATATAGATGATAAAATAATAAATAATAATATGACAGATATAATATGTAAATGATAATTCCAGCAAAAAAATCTTCTTAATACCGGGCACTCGGCCGGTACTCACGGGTACCGTAAATTACATCTGAGGCTTCGACTCCCCACGAGGTTTCGAAGTCGAATTACTGGAGACTTCAAAGGTCGAATTACATCAAAGTTGCGGATATATCAGGTAATACTATCTCCACTCGCGACTCCAAGTACCTGGGCGGGCAGCTTCCGAGTACCTGGCTACGGAAATTTCCAAGCGGGTACCAACGGCACTGGCGCACTTCAGGGCAACGAAAGGCAGCCATTGTTTCACACGTGCGTCGATGTCGAAGAAACTCTTCGCGATGACTCCTACGCAATGATAAACCCCTCGTCGCTGCGGGGCTTCGCGCGAATGACAGTTGTGCTAGCAGCCACAAACCGGTTAGAACAGGTTGCTGCGCGATGGAAATCAACTGATAAACGCTTGTTTTAAGGCAGTTCTCGTACTTTCGTCTGGAAATTCACGGGCCGACTCACGCGCTCCCGGAGCTTCTGGGTATTCGCGCGAATATTCATGGGCGCGATGGGCCCAATCTGGGCTGCGCTTGCTTTATCTATCCCGGCCGTCCGCTTTGAGCGTGCTCCAAAATCGCCCCTCCCCCCCCCACCCATCCGGTCGCGTCGCATCTAATCGATGCAATAGGCATTGTTTATATAGCCCGCGCAATCTAAATACACCGCTCTCGCTCGTATCTCGCGAGAGCGACAGTGAGAGACCGCGCCAGGTCGAATATATCCCGGCGATCAACCAAACGTCGTGTTTAGCCCGCGAGCGTGTGGTAGGCGC